TCATTGTAGAAAGAGATGTATTTATAGATGAGGATTCTAGCAAATGGTTAACTCTAGGAAACTTGGTTATCTTTAGGAAATGTTCATATAGGTGGTGCTACATATTTGTATTTTTTAGAATGCTGGCAGCGTTATGGACGTTTCTGTTGACTAATCAAATGTCTGTTGACAAATTTAATTTTGTACAGACATTTGTCGTCACTAGGGTAACCCTACATAAGGTCATCCTCTGACCTTTGCCGCATGAGGTTCACATTTTTCGTTTTTTAATGACTTCTTTCTACAACTATTGAATCAACTGCTCAAAAAAGTTGCATTTATGTTGCACTCTGGATGAACTGTAGTAACTTTGGTGACCCCTTCACATTTGAGCGCCATTACCAGGTCAGAATGTAAACTTATACTTCTATTTATACCTACAAAAGCTAGAGACATTCCCATCAGCCTCTGCTATACATTTGAATTTAGTGCCAGAAGATAACATGTCAGCCAACATGGTAAACACACCTGTCAAACATCAGCACTTATCTACCCATGCATCTCGTTTCTACTCTGTGAGCCTGTTCCCACTCACCCTGCCTCAGTGAAAGTCTCTAAGTAGCCTTATTAGAGTATGATGTCAGCGTTTGGAGGGTTTGTGGTTGTGCCCCCTGCAGACCACGTCAGCCCCAGGATACGGTGAGGAGACGGCAGCTGTGTTCTTCTCAAACTGAGGGGTAGCGAGCAGGCCTTCCTTGAAGGGGGTCGCAATTCATCTCCTCTGTCTTTCCTACAATACTTTATTTTGGCGGGAAGCAGCAAAGACGCTTGTTTGACCCAAGTTTCTTTGCAGGACCCCCTCCCTGAGAAAAGTGTCGCCCGCCTCCACTTTCATACACCATGTCTACCCTGTCTTGATTGATTTTCAGTGCGCATTTTGGAAGGGATTACAGCCATCTGCAGGCTCTTGAGGAACAAAGGGGGCTCCTGGCTCTCCTCCTTTCAGTACTTCAGAGGGATAACATGCCAGATAAACTTGCTCTTGCACCGCTCTGCACTTGTTCTCTATTCTGCCTTGACCTCTCAACCTACCCAAACTGCCCACTCAACTTTGAAGCTGACCACGTAATTCTCTCCTGCCCTCACTCAGCGCCGTGAATAGAAGCTAATCATCAGTCTTTGCAAACTGTTCATTATAGAAACACCAATCCCAGGTAGTGCCTTTATACAAACTGTTGCACTGATTTCAGCAATCTTCAGTTTTTGTTTGGCTGCAGTTTTGCATTTTCCTGGATTCATGAAAATACTTATAAGGCAAATTAGCAATTTCCCAGATGAGAACATCCACAGTTTCCATTCGGGAATCATCACTCCCAGCTGTGCAAGGGTGTTATGGGAACCAGATATTGTCAGCTGGGATTCTGGGATGCCAAAGTGTGGTCGTGGACTCCATGCTCACTGTCAGCTGGTGCTGAGAGGCAGCAGGATGCACAGACACTGAGTCACAGCAAGAGGTGGACAGAACTCTCTGCCTAATGTTTGGTTGCGTTGGGATAGATTATCAGTATGGCAAAGTGACTTGCTCATGTGGAAAATATAGCCTGGCTAAATCCACAGCTGTTTGTTTCCAACTTCTTACTAATCTAGTTGGTGCACACACTGTGCGTCAAGTGTGTGGCAACCACTGTTTTGGATCCACAACAGCAGCTGTGGACCAAGCTGTGGGAAAGATTAGAGGATGAAGCCGTGAAAAGAGAGATCCAGGTGACGAAGAGTTTATTGAGCACTCGGACAGATCAGGCTATACGACAGTAATAAAATGCTTTGAGAGATTCTTACAATGTCCGTGGATATAAATCGTTAAAGAGAAGCTGAAGCAAAATCAGTGAAATTCCTGAAGTGAAGGTGTTTGTTTTTGCTATTCTGCAAACAGAAATGTCATCTTGAACATTGTGAAATGTATTTTTACATGCCGAAAAAAAACGAGGAGACGGAAAAAACCCTGGTTTACAGAATAGTTTCCCTACTACTTTATTTTGTTCTGGAAACTCTTGACCTTTCAGTCCTTGCAGGGCTCAGAAATGTCAACAACCTCAGCTATGAAACCTCCATCCACTAAAGAACATCATATAATGGGAAAGCTCCAAAAACAATATTGGGTCTTGTGTTGAGATTGTGTCAACCACAATACTTATAAGGCAAATGAGATTGCGTCAACCACTGTTCTGAGGTCAAGAATGTATGTCCACAATCGAAGGACGCATTAGGAGTATTGCAAAATTAATGCATGTAGATAAAGCTAATACCAGACACAAGTAGAGGGTTCATTATCCCTCAGTATCAGGGGTTTGCTGGTAGGATTTGTAGACCTTATTAAAGCTGCATAACAGAGAGAGTTTTTGCTGCATAAACAGGACCTGGGTGCGGTGTTGTTTGGCTTCGATATGAGGGAGGGTCCAGGAGCACTTTGGCCCTGTCCGTGCTCTCATCTCTGGAGCTTTGTCTCCGGCCGCTTCCCCCAAACTCCCCCAGGGGCTGACGGAAGTCCACACCCAACACTCTCTCTCTCATTGCTTCAGTTTCCCCTTTCCTGAGTGCTTCCCGCCCCGCTGTGTCCGTACCTCACCTCAATAACACAACAGGAGAGAATAACGCCAGCAGTGGGGTGGACGGGGGGAGGGGGGGGGGGTATTGTGTTTCTGTAGCAGTCTGCAGAACATCATCAAAGTGTATGCAATCATCATTGTTGTGGTATTTTGATACCTCCCTTAGTACACTTCCATGTAAGACACTGTTCATAATTGAATCACTTGTCTGGTGAGTGACTTTTGAAAGAGTAGGGTTGGTTCAAATTGAACACGGCTGTTGTGCACTTGTCAGAAGTTACGATTGCAACATTTACTGGCTTATTGTCGATTTCTTTTTAAGGGCAAACTGCAACTGGACAAAGCCTTACGCCAACATTTGACGTATGTTGGCCCACTTGACAATTGTTGTAATTGTATCGCTTTTTTATTAGAGCAACGGCTGCAGCCTAATTGAGTCCCATGTTTTCTCCAACACAACCATTGAAGGTGAGAAGTGTCCCATGCGCCAACCTTTTGTGCGTTTGGAGCAAGTGTAAATATGGAAGAAACGTCTTTAGAGCATTTTCTTTCTGTATTTTTTTTCACAAAGTTTTATTTAGAATTAGACAGGTTTATTTAGCAATAACAAAACTCTGTGACACTGTGTCAACGTGGACACCCTGACATTAATACTGCAGTTTTAGGGGTTCAAGCAGGGGTCACAAAGAAGCAACAACAATGCAGGAAGTTGAGCTTTGTCCAAATGTGACATGATGTATTAGTTGTTGGAGTATAATTTGAATGCTCTTTGTTTTTGGCTTATCAGCCCTGCAGCAGTAACCTCAGATGTACTGGTGAGGAGGGGGTAGAGGTGTGTGTTTGCAGGGCTGAGCAGCTCGAGGCCCCCCAGCTACGGTATGCTTTAAAGGAGCACTGAGGCAGTAAATAGCTGGGGATGTTGGAGGTTCCCTCACATGAACTACTGATGCGGTGGCAAAGCAGTGTCAGGTTTTCTATGGGAGATAGCCAGCCAGACATGGAAGGCATGTCGATCTTTTGTGATTCTCCTTTTTACACATTGAACCAAAACACCATGTAAATTCCTCAGCTGCTCTTTTTCAACTGGATTTACTGGGTGCAATACATTTGAGATTTTATTGAGGTGTGTGCGTGTACAAGTTTTAATACAGAATTTTGCAAGAAGGAGAAACAGGTGGTGATTTTATCATAAAATAAATATGGATGTGCCATCCACCATCCTCATCTGTTCAGGGAAATGTCCATGGTCTGTGATGCTGCTGGAGAAATCCTAGTTGAGTTAGGAGCCAGAGTTTAGCTGGAGCTGCATGTGTTATGTGGCGTGGAACAGAGATTTGGTTTGATTGTGTTCTCGCGTACACGTGGTCAGGACAATGTGAGCGACTGTGTGGCACCTCAGCCGAGGCGAGTCTGCCACGCCGCTCCCTTAATGGCGATTTATTGCTTCCTGAATCCTGAAAATGGGAGTCTGAGGACAACAGAATTCCTAACGTCGACTCTACCTCCTTCCCCGTCCAAACCCCCTCAAGGTCGTGAACGCTCCCTAAATCTCCCCGCCTTCAAGGCCTCTCGCTCTCTCGGGCACGCCGTTTGTTCTGAGCTTTCAAGGATTTGATTCATGGGTACTTGAAGTGACTTATGTCTGAGAAAAGTTTACCATGCTACAAACCTTTGGACCCAGATACTATAGTGTAGGTTAAACTGTATTGATGTTTTCCGTGAGAGGTTTAGAGCACTGATAAATTAATGATCCGGCTGCATAATAGATGTGGATCATAAAGTGACCAAAGAAAGAGTTCAAAGTGAAAAGAAAAGAAATACTTGAGTGTTTTCTCACAGTATATTTTATTCACACAGACAAACACAAAAATAATCCACAATAATATCACAATGTTGTTTTTTTCCACAGGCTTTTTTTCAATGCCGATGCTTCTAGAATTTCTTATTAACATATTTACAATCATATTGCTATTAACATACATTTACATAACAAATAAACAGCGAAAATGGCAGTGTTTACGCTTATAAGACATACCGCTTTAGCACATTACGGTCATTTGGTATGAACCTCTCCCCTTGTTGATATAGTGCACATTAGATATAAAATATTAACAGAATAGAATTGTATACATTAAATGCACATTTTATGCATTTCTCTTGAGCTAGCCATTGTTATGACTTGTGTTTTTTTTACCAAAAGCAGTTGTTCTTTTTAATCCATAGCAACAGGTTTATATCATTATAACGCTGGACTGCGGTTATAAATGGCTGTTATGCTTATTACAGTATATAAAGGTGAATTTCGTTATGTGGTTCATCAGCAGAGAGCAGGGAATGACTTGACAACACAACTTATAAAGGCTTTGGCAACACTGCTACAACTCCACTTAAACATGTGTTTCAAAAAAAAAAATGTATAATGAAATGCAGTCCAATTGGTTCAATTCAGCAGAAATATTGCATGGCTACTGAAATGTACTGTTATGTTTCTGTAACAAAGCCTGTATGTCATCACAGAGGCAGAATCTCAGAGTTGGCTGAATATGAAAGTGCTCTCAGCTCTAGTTTAAGCTGTGAAACATGCTCAGGTACTGTATGTGCCTTCATCATCTGTACATATATTAAATTCTCAATTGCTCCACATCGCTATGCTACATATAGTTGCTTTTTATTTGGTTTTCAGTGCTTGCAGCATCACACTTTCCAGATAATTCCCTTCCCTTTATCAGTGCAAATATACATTTAGTGAGGACTCTTTTATAATCTCCTTAATAGTTGTAACACTGAGGATGACCCCAGCAAACTTTCCCATGGCCAGACATGGCTGAAAATAAAGGTGCCTAGAGTGTATCCTCACTAGGATACTAACTAATAGGCAGTAAGCTTTCTATAGAAATGTAAATAAATGTTCCTGAGTTCAACGCAAGGTCTCTCAATGGGCCTGATTTAATGGCTCGACTTATTTTATCTCGAATGGAAAGCTTTTCAATAGATTTTCTCTGAACCTGCATAATGGCATCACTTTTCAATACCAAAAGCGTTTGAGTTCATTTCAACCACATCCCTCATGTCACTTGAACAGGGTATTCCTGACCCGGTGACTGCATATTGCACTGAAATGGTGTTGGGAAAAAGTCCATTTCACTCCTCAGTCCTTTTAGGAAGACGTTGGTGGCGCCATGGCTGCATGGGGCGCACCATGGCTTCTTCCAAAACATGGAGCAGGGCTGAGTTTGGCCTGGCTTTCAGAACGGCCTCAACTCTGAGTGGTAGACAAGCTGCTGGTGAGTTGTTACACTCAGTCTACCGGCAGTTCACAGGGTATCTGCTGGGCTGCTTTGGCTGCCATGTAAGCCCTCTGGAAGTCCTTGTATCGGGGAGCGCAGCCCAACCAGGCCTCCCCGAAGTGGACCCGTCCGGTGAACAGGAAGCTGCCGGGCCCCGGTTTGACGCCGCACTGCAGCAGCGTCCTGACTTCCCCGCGGCTGCTGAGGCGACTGTTGCCGGTGAACAGGGCGTACTTCTGACGAAACACCCGGGTGGCGCTGACTTTGATCACCGCCGCTCGTAGGTTGTCGTCTTCCACCACTGAACGGATGTTGCCTCGCACGACTGTGGATAAACAGGATATTCAGGTTAATTTCTATGAATATTTCACAACGCAGAACTTTGTTTTTGTTCCCTTTGCTCAATTTTTTCATGTAGGTTGTTATATCGTCCTACCGGGGTGATTCTTTGTTGACCACCAACTGATGTCTAAAGACGTACTAAGGACCAAACCTCCTCACTAATCCTAACTTTTGTTGCCAGCTGAAATTCTCCTCAGTGCCATAACAGCTCAATAAGAGGCCAGCAGATTAGTCCACTACTCCTTCTCTGGGGGGGAGATGTCAGGATTAGTCCACTACAGTGCCTCCAGTAGGGGTTCCTGTGTGTGTGTGTTGGGGGTTGCAGAGAGCTGCCGTTTCACCTTTAACCTTTAACTTTTGAGAGGAGAGGATTTGGAGGCACCGGGGTTCGCTGCCTTTTTAAACCGATTCGACCCATTTATAGATCCTGATTAGAAATCATTATGATCTTCGGATTTGCCGCCACGACTTTGTAGAGGTCAGGTTTAATTTGTTAATCTAGGCTGGATTGGAAGGGTGGATTTCTGAGTGACAATGACATTTCATTTCTGGTTTCCTGTCATATTAGTAACTTGTTACATCATGTTACTCACCAAAGTCACTGGTGCAAACGGCCATCAGAATCTCAGTGTTGTTGCAGGGTCTGCAGGCCTCTGGAGAGAAAACAAGGGAAGGAAGAAGTCAGTTGCTGACCTTGCATAACACCGTAAACTGCTATAAAACACATACATGCTTGTAATTAAAGCAAGCTTCTGGAAATCAAAGACATGTCCAGATCACATGCACAGGAATGTGAGATAAAACTCTGCAAAGACGAGCAACAAAGGAGAGACCACCGTCGCTCTGTAACAGACAGCTGCTACTTTTACAGTTGGCGGAGGAGGACCAGTGGAGCTTTAAGGTGCAAGGCTTTTCCACCCCAAACAATTTAATGGCTAGATGAAACGTCCCCCCTTAAAGCCTTTCAGGGTGTCTACAGTCACACCTCATCAAAGCCATGTAGACAGGGGCCAAAAAGAGAGGGAGTGGGGGTGGACTTCAAAGACCTTTTTAAGGGGTCACTTCCCACAAAATGCTCTCCCTTCTTTCTTCCAAGGCTTCTCTTAAAAACTGGAAGGACATTTTTTTTTTTTTTTTTTTTTTTTTATATAAATATAGTTCCCCTAACTTTAAGTCCTAACAAGGTTGGCAGATGGCCACAAAAAAAATTAAAACCATCAAAGCTCTGTCCGTCTGCATGGACTAAACTGTGGGTAGAATGAAAAAAAGTCCTGGCATTTTTTAAAGTTCTCCTTGTGGTTCTTTGGAGGCCCCCTTGCCCACCCCACATATTCTCCTCCTTAGTGAAAACCTCTTGATAAATGAGATTCCTTCCTCTCTAGTCCACAGCAAACCCCCATCCAAGCCTAATCAGTGTGTGTGTGTGTGTGTGTGTGTGTGTGGGAGTGTGAGGAGGGGGGAGTAAACTCCTACAGACAAGTCTCCCCACAGAGAGGCAGCCCAACAAAAGAGGGGAGCATCTCAGCTGGGCAGAGGCCTCCCTGTCTCCTAGGAGACGGCAGTAATCCCAGAATACTCATGCGGCACCCATTCAAAGTGCTGTGGACTCTGGAGAAAGCCCCACATACTGAGCTTTTGTCCCCCTCCTCCCCACTCCACGGCTCCCCTTCTCCTACTCCAAACCCGCACGCCTCTGGGTAAAGTTTGGCCACTTCCTCCCCTCTGCACTCTGCAAGGCTGCGGAAAGTCCAACCAGCCCACAGAGGCCTGCTATGAATTATGAATCATCAACAGGGAGGATTTTATGGAGTGTCATCACTGGTGGATTGAATAAAACCTTACGTCCCCCAACACTTTTCAGGAAGAACTCTGACCACAGTGTGTGGGTTTTTAGGAGTTTTTGTTTCTTTCATATGACAAAAAGAGACAGAAATTAGATTATTTATAGATTACCGCTTCAAGGTAGAATATACAAATGGATTACTTTTTTCATCCTATATTTGATAGTTATTGATTTAAGAGATAAAATGGTTCCTCTGATACAAATGTATTGTCTAGATAAGGAAAAATTAAAGTATAACCGGGTCATTGTGTCCCCCTATTTGACCTCACACTCAATCCAACATGGCTGCCTCACTGCCTCACCTTCACTGCTGATGGGGTTGTTGTCCAGTGACAGGCGGGCGGTCCAGTCTCCTCTCAGCTCGTATCTGAAGGATGCGATCCTCCTGCTGATGTCCTGGTGAGGTGTGGCCTGCAGGAAGAGAGCCACCCTCTCCCCGGGCAGGCGGCTGAAGCAGCGGACCCTCGGTGGGGGGGAGGACTCCAGCCGGTCGCTGATCAGGAGCTCCAGGACCCCGTCCCTCTCCAGGTAGAGCTGGGCTCCGTGGAAATGCTCCGAGGGCTTGACGCAGGCCGTGATGAGGCCCGAGCTGCTTCCGCCGGGCCCCACCGCCACAGAGGGCAGGCGGGGGGACAGACTGAGGCGCAGGGCCCCTTTGGGGTACAGCCAGTCCAGGGTGCCCTCAGAGCAGTGGAGGAAGATCTGCTCCACGCTGCCCTGCTGCTGGGACAAACCACTGTGAGGAGAGAAAAGAGAAAGGAGGAAAGGTTAGATAAAGTTTACATTCAGGCAAGGCTTAGGGCTTAAACATGAGTCCCTTACATCAGCATCGGCAGGGCTTAGTTTCCTGAAATAACTGCAAGATGGACTGTGCAGGTTGAAAAAGAAAGAGAAGAAAAATAAACCCCTAACTTTTCATAGCAACGACTACAAATAATATAATGACTATAAAACTTTTTTTTAGTAGAACTTCTGTGGATGAAGACATTCCCATGAAGGCGCCGCCTACTGGCATTCTGTGGTACCAGGGGCCAGTCTGCATCTTAAGGGCCAAACTATAAAACTATAAAAACTAAAAGTCCTCTGCAGGAATTTTTAACAATATATTTATAATGAAACTACCCTTATACAAGTGCATGCACCACATGTTATTTTCCTCCAGTCTCAGCTGTAATCCTGCAGTCTCCTGCCTGTCTGCACCCCCCATGCCTCCTGCAGACAGCCCGGAGGCGCGAGCGCAGCATAGAGAAACATTTCACTGCGCCCTAAAGGCAAGTCTCAACGTGTTGCATCCAAACAAATGTTGTCCTTTGCCAGCGGGACACCTGTCGCATCTCTCGGTGGCATTTTTCAACATCATCCAGGAAGAGCTCTCGTAAGATAAAGATACTTGCCTTCCTCTCCAGCTGCACTGGTCTTCAGAGTAACTTGAACAAGCCAAGTCACAACCGGTGAAAAGTAAAATCCAAATTGCGTTAATCCAAACTCCGAAAGCAGGCATGTTTCACGGTGGGTGATGCAGAGTTAAAAAATAAAAAGTCGGAAAAAAATATTCCAAAACTGAAATCTCTGCAAGCAAAACTCCTCTATAAAACAAATCTGACTCTATTTGTGATAAGCTCCATAGTTTAGTATCCTCTTACCCTGATGTGTAAGATAGGAGAATACTCTAACTGTCTCTCTGAACTCTCCGGCTGCTGTGCGTCAGGGGACTCGGAGCTCTGGAGTTATTCATCCTCGGAAAAACTTCACGGACCAATCAGAGCCCGAGGAGTGAAACTTTAAACCACTCACGCAGCGGAGGGGGAGGGACGTCTGACCTGCAGAATGAGACGCAGTGTGTGAGGGTAAACTCTCAATTCACTATTGTGTTAGACATGTCTGCATAAAATACTCATTAACTCACATGCTGAGTGGGTTTACATAGACTGTCAGTTGGTTTTATTTATTTATTCTTCATTAATATCATATTAAATTACCGGATTAATAGTTGTACGCCTATCTGTTTTTAATTAAATATCGGATTTATATACAGGTGTTATCATTTGAAATTATAGTGGAATTAGCCTTGCCTTGTGCATTGTGATCTATTAATAGATCAAGATTATTTAAAGCCCCCCTTCATTTTGGGTTTTAAGTCAAACTGCTATTCATTGAATAATGTTTTATATTATATGTTTTTTGAAAAATAAAACACTTTTGAATTCTTCACAGTAAAGAGTACTTAAATGACATATATTAGTCCATAAAAAGCTAAATACATAAATATTTATCATTTCAAAAGTTTAACTAGCGACTTAATACAAGGTTTCTCCTAATGCACTGTAAATCAGTTGTCATTCTAATTGTAATGTTATGTTTACTATCAGCCTCAGCTTGAATCAGATCTGTAGCCCTTGACTGTGTGTCATCCCCTCTTTATCACCTTTCAAGTTTATTTCCCATAAAACAAAACAAAAGATGGATACCACACTTGTGTAAGTTTCATATTGGAACCACGATTGGCTTCCCAATACCATATTTACAGATGCCTGTGTTAGTTAGTTAGATAGATACTTTATTTATCCCAAATTGGGATATTCTTTTGTTCCAGCATCCGTGTCAAGTATTGCATGAGTTAAAACATTTTTAAAGATACAAATGTTAAAATGAACATTAGCAGCAAGTATATTTAGTAAGAATACAAATTGACACGAACAGCAAGTATTTACAAATTCACAAAAGAAAAGAGATTGGATTGAATATAAATTATAATTGTGCAAATAGCTGTTGTGCAAATTATTCAAAGTTCTCTGCCAGTCAGAGGTGAGTTGTTATACAGCTTTATTGCAGTTAATCTGATATTTGGGGTAAGTGCAGAGAAACGCTCCGTTCTTAAAGGTCCCATGTCATGCTTTTCCGGTTATTACCCGTCCCCTTGTGTGTTATGTAGCTTTTTATGCATGCAAACGGTCTGCAGAGTCACAAACCCTCAAAGTACACCCTGTAGCGAGTAAAACTCTAACACAGAAAAGACCTGTCTGTGCTGCCCCAGAACACCTCGTTGGAGATTTCTCTTTTTCCATTGTTTACTTCTTGGGTATAGTGACGTATTTTGGGTATAGTGACGTAACGTAACGGCTCCGCAGATTGGTCCATTTGAACCAATCTGCGGAGCCGTTACGTCCGCAGATCCGTTACGTTTGGACCAATCCGCGGACTTCCTCACACACACACACTCGGCGGGACGTTGCAAGGCTCGCTGCTGGGAGGAGTGGGACACTGTGAGCTGGCTCACAGGTGTGGGGTGGGCCGGAACTCAGCCTGGGCACACACACAAACTCCCAGCCAGGCTGCGGGTGTGTGTGTGTTTCAGGCTGGGTTTCGCTGTGTCTCGTTGTCTCGCAGACGGCCACTGGGCTCACAGGGAGGGGGGGGGCAGGAGCTCCAACAAGCCGTGTAGGACAGAGAGTGAATACACATACTATACAGAGATGCTGTATGAGAAACCAATGTACACAATATACATTTATTTTAGCAGACCTCAACAAGGGAATTATGATCAGTAGAAATGGCCATGACATGGGACCTTTAAGCAGATTCATGCGGAAACAGTGTTAGGGTTTAACTCTATTTCTTGTCAAATGTATGTCCAAGTGAGTCACAATAAGAAAAACGCACTTTTGTGCAAGGGGGGCTTTAATTAAACCATATAAATGCAGGTTTATAAATGTTAAGTTCTCATAATATTCTATAGATTTACTTTCATACCCACTTTCTAATCAAGTCATAGACTTATAAACACAAAGAAAATCCTTTTGGTATTTATAATGAATTGCCTTTTTTATATCCCCAAGTCCACTAAATTGTATCTGTGGTACACTTAATGTGCTTTATTCTGCAAGACTTTTGAGTTTTGAACAATACCAGCCATTCCAAAGGCCTCTGAAATGGTAAAGATTCTATTATCTCCATGAGATTAAATCAAATGAAAAAGAGGAGACGTAACGCGCTGGTCACAGTTCGATAATGCTAACCTGATTTTCAGACGCACTATGTATGATGGTGATGATGGCGAAGATAAGACTTCTCTGGTTGTCGTGGCCTCTGCCCCTTTACCCCGCTGTGCTCCTCTTTCATGTTGTGGTATTTATAACCAAATCAAATATTCTTTTGTGCCATCACCGCCATTCGTCTCTCCGAGCCAGTGACTTTCCATGTACGTGTGTGAGTTATCATGTGTGCGTGATGAAAGTCTAGGCCCCTGCGATGGAGTTATGACAAGGCCTCAGACCCACACAAAGGCACATGTGCAGAAATCCAGCTGCTTTATTGTCTGCAGCCGGACGGAGCTTTGTTTTCTGCAGGGCATTTCAAAGCAGCAGAGTTTAAAGTGCAGAGCGACGGGGGTGGCTCAGTCAAAGAGAAGGAAAAATGAATACATTAGTGCATAAACTTAGTTATGGACATCATCAATATGTCATATCATCCACGTGTGCTCAGTGTATTCAGAGAGGACAGTCAGATTTACACACTTTGTCACATCAGTGTGCATGCATTCATACAAATGTCCATTAAAACAAAAGCACACACACGCTTTGTGACCCTGGTACGACCCTCAGTGTTATCCAGCCACCATCATATTTAGTGCTTTCATGTGGCGTGTGTGTACAATGCATTGATGTGTCACTTTAATCTCCATCTATTGTCCCGGAACAGTTCAAACATACCGTACTGAGATCTAACTCTTTTGATGTGGTTAACAACTCTTTTTTTTTATCACATTGTGAAATCTTATTCCCACTTTTCTTCACCAAAAGAGTCACAGGGTCTGGGATGGAAAGTTGGAAAAAACGTAATTTAAGTTTAAACATTCATTAGTAGTACATTTACTCAAGTATTGACGTTAGATGCAATTGTGAGGTTCTTTACTTTAATTTTATCCTACTTCATATTTCAACTCCAGTACATTTCAGTGGGAACTATTAAACATTTTATTCCAGTATACTACACAAAAAGTGATATGCTTAAATGATATAACACAATGCTATACTACTATTTAACCCAGTTGTATACAAAGTGGCTTCTTACATGTAACTCACGATAAAAAAAAAATACTTTCATATGCATATGATATTGCACTTTATATAAGTACCTTTTTAATTTAGATTATTACAGTACTTTTTAATTATATTACTTTTTAGGCTGTGATATTTCTACTTTATTTGAGAAATTGAGAATCTAAAAACATTTTTTTGCTTTTCCAGAAAGTTCGATTAGAAAATGGATTCCGCTCTCATGTTTGTGCTGCAACCAACTTGCTAATTAGCTTACTTTAGGAAATGACATGTCACTTGTTAGACGCTTTTATCCAAAGCGAGTTACATACATTCAGTACAGTGGCCAATCCCCACAGGAGCAATTTGGGGTGAAGTGTCTTGCCCAGGGACACAACGACATGCTGACTGCAGTGGGGCTCGAACTTGCTATCCCCTGATTCGAAGTTCCTTGCACTATCCGCTGAGCCACAGCCTCCCATACTGGAAATATACTGGACATGGGGGGGAACAGCTAGCTTCTCGATGTCTAAGTTACTATTAAAGGCCAGTGTAAGGGTGAGAACCATCAGACCTGGTGGTTTCCGTTCTGCATCCACAACAATGCCATCTTTCTCTCTAAAGAAACACTGTCTTGTTGTGCTCGTACTGTAACCACTGAACCAGATTCCTGCAGAGTTTCCGTTCTCGGTGTCCGCTTCATTTTCACCTTTCCGCCAATGAGAGCGTCTTCAAACAGAGCTGCTGTACGCATACGAGAGTTTGCATGCACGTGTTAGTGCTGTGTGTATTTACTCGGTGTACTGTATTCCTCTGAGGGTTTCTGTGTGCCGGCAAACATGGGGACGATGTAGTGACAGTGTGGTGTCGCTGGCATTTACGATACCTGTTCTCGCTGTCTCGGACACAGAAGCTATTATCAAAGGTCCTATAGTTTTCATACTATGCTGAGATTTCATATATTAAGGGGAACGTACGTAAGCAACCCAGACCAAAGTGCTAATTGAAAGAGGGTCAATCAGATTCAATATAATGTTTGTAATAAGAAATGTACATGGAATCGGCCAAGACATTTCATGTTGAATCCTAAACAAACATGCAGTTAGCTTCCTAGTAATTCGAAACTTTATATTTCGTCTTTTTTACAAAGTGCAGTGCTGAAAACCCACTTTTTAAAGCACGTTTTGAGTACAAGTACTTTTTCCTTGTTAGAAACAACCAATGATTTTAAACATTGGTATGGTTCTGAATCCTTTGAATTTCAAATGTTTGTCTTAACAAAAGTCCAACATTGCTGATATCTAGAAATCAAATCATAACAGGGATTGAACACATCCTGTATATGACACATGCTGCTTTAGACAGAGGGCTGATGGGTCTACAGTTTGTATTCATATATCTGAATCTGAACATGTCGGCTAAAGACTCCTGACCTTATCGGAGTTGACAAGTTGTCTTCGTTCCCAGACTTTTCAGCAGCTTCCCATGGCACCTCGATGCTAATCTGGTTGATCTGACATGGCCGCTGTTTGTTTTCCTGCACACAGTCATCTATCTGCTGGTAATGAGATCCAAGAGCTTGTCAGGACACTCTGACAATCAGCCGACGTTCACGGTCACAGAAAATACCCCTTCTATCTCGCCATAGGATTGTG